TTTATATAAAGTGATTGAGATGACCATAAATTCTTTTAAAAGTTTGACTTATATATATATATATATAGAACCGAAGGAAATATCTTATATTCAACTATATATATTGATAGATTGCTTCCAAAATCTTAACATATTTTCACTTTCTTCATCATCACCGCTCAATATAATTAATTCCTTGTTTGACTTTGTTTCTTGGTAGTCAAAACTAGTCTTAACATGTAAGCTCTTGGACATCCTCAGCAACGTCGTCAGAGGTGATGTGGAGTATAAAAAATAGACGAGAGAGAAATACTATAATGTAGATATTATGTTATGTACTTTATGAAGCACGAAAGCTGGATCACCTGGTATAAATTATGTTATTGGAGCGGTGATGCATCTGGTTGGCAAATGTGTAGGCTTATGTTTCTGATGATCTGAATTTGGGCATCCTTAACACTCCCAAATACCATGAATCCCTTCCCTTCATCACGCTATATGTCTTTCAACTTCATTTGTCTCTAGCTCCTTCCATAACTTTACGCGCGCGCGCGCGCGCTGCCTGCTTGCATCATATCACACATTAAATCCGGCCCCTCAAATTTGTTTATTTATTTTCTTTTTACACAAAATGGACTATTTATTCAGTATATTAATTACCCTTTTTGCATTTTTCCCTATTCAGTACGTTTGTTTTATGTTTTTTGAACACTTAGCTCATCAGCTATTCACGATCATGCAATCAAGATGGGGCAAACTTAAAAATTTTGTTAATTTTCATGGAGAATCGATTCGTCTTCATCTCCTTTTATGTATTCTAACAAAAATGTTAAAAATGTCTTATGAATAGAATTGAAAGTTATGCATCGTTGATAGATCGAAGAGTATCATGAGTATGCATATATTAGTGTGCGGATATATAGAATTGATTTACTCCCTCCAGTCCCTATTATAGTTAGGGCGCCTTCTAAAAGAATTCCTTAATTCCCAATATAAGTTTAATAAAAGATTATTAATTAATTAACACTTTCCAATTTTACTCCTACAAAAATTTCGAAAGGATAATTTAATTCTAATTTAATGTTTATATATGACTTTTTGAATGTTGTGTTTCTCTCGCTATCTTTAGCAGGGGCAAAGTTAGAATATATTTTAATCTCAAGACAGATTTAATAGGTTAACCTCCGGTGAAATAATGGTTGAAAATGATTTATAATAAGTACCGGAAGAATTAATGAGTAACATTTGGTTGGAGAGAGGGTATAAAATGCATGAAGAATTAATGAAGGGAGAAAGGCAGGGAAAAAGACACGTGGAAGGTAACGAGGAAGTAGCGACATGCATGCAGCTGCTTGCATTGCCAACGTTAGAAACGTAGCAACAGCCTGAGAGTGCCACTTGGCTAGGAGCCCGCACAGCCACAAAAGTGAGACATTGATTTTTCCACACACACACACACACACACACACACACACACACACACACACACACACACACACACACACACACACACACACACATATATATTTGCATGTAAAGAATCATGCTCCAGTCAAGGCTGAGATAGATGAGACGAGGATGATGAATAAGATTAAAAGTGAGTTCACGTCCTTAGACGTACTTAATGGCTACATATAGATACATACATACATGACCCCATGCATCACGTAGATGTTGCTTTTCTACGACAAAGCTTCAGTGTTACCTCATCGATCACTAGTCATGAGATCACATGGCCATGGGTGTTGATTAATTAATATGAACATGTATATGTGAGATATATGACAAAGGAAATGACGAGGGAATGAAAAGGAATTGATGGATGATTTTGCCTGTTTTTTCAGTTTCCACAATCGGTGCCGCCAGAAATATGGCATTCTAGGGGCTCATAAATATTCCCACTCCTCTTCCATTCCCAACTATCATTGCATGTGCGCCCAACATGTGTGCGTATGTGTGTACGTGGTTTCTGTCCCTTCTATTTTTGTGTGTGGTGTGTGTTCCTTCTTCTATTATTTTTGGAGACGACCAATATTAACTGTATCAAATTGAAACGGCCGGCTGCACATTTCAAAATATAAATTCAAATTTCATGTTAAATTTTCTTTTTGAGTAAAAGCAAATTTAGATGAATTAAATATTGAGACTCACTAGGCTCTGGGTGTGCCTCCGAACTCAAAAATAGCTTTCTTTTTGTGCTTCAGTTGATGAGAGGGTGTGCCTTCTATACAAATAAAACATGATCTATGCCCCTTGACATTGTATTCTAAAAAGTTTTCATAAATAAAAAAATCATTCGTTATGTAAAAGATCATAGCATGTAGATTAAAAGATCATTTTCGATAAGCATCAAACATATCAACACCTTCCTTTATTTTAGTGTTTGGTATAAATGTGTGGTGTGTGTTCCTCCTTCTATTTTTGTGAGATGACCAATATTAACTCTATTAAATTGAAATGATTTCATTTCAAAATAATCTATCATCCCAATTAATAAGACACTTTAAAGGTGAGATTTTAGTGTCTCAAGACTAAAATATAAAACACTTTAATAAAAATAAGATTTCATAATTATACATGTTTCAATATTATTCTTCTATCCTTATTATATTATCTCCTCTAGATCTCTTTAATGTTTCACAAATAAAATTATATTAAGTAAATGGTATTTTTGAAAAGAGAAAAACTTATACACTCAAGGTACTTGTTTTCAATTAAATTGAGATATATGAATTTTTTATAAATCATTTTTTCTATAACTAACTCTTATTATTAATATATTAAAATTCACTTGTATTGATTTGACTAAATTAAAGTATATTAAGTATATATAATGTTTAAGTACATGAATCTTATCTGAAAAGGGGAAACTTACCGTTATAATTATGTATACTTAAGGTTTTTATTTTCAATTAACTCAAGACATATAGATTCTTTATATATTATTTATTCTATAATAATTTTTTATTAATAATATTGTTAACATATTAAAGTTTACTTGTTTTGATTTAATTGGATAAAAAATATAAAAAAATATATAAGATTAACTAATACCTTAGTCTTACCCTTGTGTAAAATGAGGTAACAAGTTTTATAGACATCAATTAAAATTGAATAAAACTGAATATTAGTGAGGTTTGGTATAGTTTTATAAATTAAAAAACTGAATGATTTGGTTTAAGTTTTAGTTTTTTCCCCCTTGAAACTTAACCAAAACCTAAACCGTACCTTCTTTATATTTTTAAGTGTATTTTTTATAATGAATATGAGACTATTATTATTGTTTATTATTTTTAAATTTTAGCCTCAACAAAAGTACAACTTAATTCCAAAATATTTTTAATAAAATCCCTAACCCTACTTTTCTCAATTTTGCTAATTGCTTTTAGAGTAAAATATGGTCCAGATTAAGGAGAGATGTAAAATCTTATGACCCTTAAACTTCTTTTTAAATGGAATCCCAAGTTTTTATCATTAAATAAATAAATATTATTTAAAATAAGACTAAATCAGAGTTACAGAAGATGCAAAAATATGAAATATCAATTATTTAGAAAGCATTACAAAAAAAGGGCAAAAAATGTTATTTTATAAAATTATGAGTTGTTCACCATAGCCAAATATGCATTTACAATGGCAACCTATGCTAAGACAAATTTAGTCTACATAAGAGTCAACGTTCTATATATAAACGATGGGGATAATTTGTTTAAAATTTTAAAGTTTATGGTTTAGGACACTACTCGCATAATAGTTTAGGGTTTGTGACGCTAATTAATTGGGGCCCACGATAAACAGTAAGGGCGTTAAAAAAAGATAATAGTAGGGTTTAATTTGTTATGAATTTAAAAAATTTAAAATTTATTTTGCACATTTTAAGAGCTTAAAGTTAAGATGCTTTTTAAGCTAGAGTTTAGAATCTATTTGGCTCCAAGAATAAATCAGGAAAATGGAGTATCTATTAACAACAGGACCTTTTCTTTGGCAAAAAAAAAAAAACCAACAGGACCTCTTCCCTTATTTTAACTTTATCATTTCTTCGAATTTATTAGGGTGTGTCCCTTTCAATGACAAGAGTTTGTCATATTGTTAGGAATTAGAGTTTTTGTTTAAATATTCTATCAACATCTTAGAGCAATTTGCCGTTAACCTTTTCATGTTTGGCTGAAGTATACATTCAGTTTTCTAACTCTATATAAAATTTTAATTTAATTCTTTAATTTTATAAAATATCTTTTTAACCCTTTAATCTTAACTTTCTTAGTTTCATATGGTTATTTTTAAAAAACTAAACTTAGTATGTCAATATTTAAAAATACTTTATCAATATTTAAAAGTTTAATATAAAAATTTTGTAATAAAACTAATGGTATTAGGATTAAAGAATTGAAAAGATATTTTATAAAATTAAGAGATCAAAATAAAATCTATATAAAATTAAAGGACTAAAAATATTTTTTAGCCTTCATGTTTTGTTGGTAACTATAATCCTCGAAATTTATATCACTATTTCCAAACCTATATTTTTATTATCAAGCATTTCTTACAAATAAATCTGGAAATAGTAATATTTAATAAAAACATGATTGGCTCTATCATTTTGAACACCTATAGTGTTCTACATAATAAGAAATTAACAGCTTGTAATAAACTAAACACTGCATTACCTCAGAGCCAGAGAAATGATCAATCACTTACTTTTTTAAAAAAAAAAGTAATTTACTTGGGACATGTTCACTCTTAGATTTAAACTATTTAAAGTTGATATTCATGAATTTATATGAAGTTTATTTTTTTTAATATTCTTCTCATTTTATTATTTTTTTAAATATAAAATTTTCTTTATCTTCTTTAAAAAGTCAAACTTCATACAAACTTTTCAATATCAACTTTAAAGGTTTGCCGTGGAAAAACTTTGATCAGCAAGCCTATTTCTTATGCTTATAAAAAATATCGCTCAATATATATATATATATATATATTTATATTGAACACATTGAATTATTGATATAGCTACAAAATTTCACTGTAATTTACCGATGCACTGTAATATATGCAGTTGGCTGAGGAGGACATTTAGCTAGTCAATCCATCCTCTTCGACAATTTCACTTTTTGAGTTATTTATTTATTCACCCATATTGACAAAAATATGACTTTAATAACTGTGCTCCGTTGCCCTACGCCTGCTTGGCCAAATCCTTGGCGTCCACGAACGTCCCATGAAAACCGTAAGGCACTCTCGACGGAAGCTTCACGGTGGCTTCCACCTTCATTTCCTCCGCGTTCACGATCTGTAGCTCCGACTTCCATGTCTTCTCGTCGTGAACAAAACACAGAACATACCCTTCGTCTTCTTCTCTGCCCTTCTTCCCTGGCAAGAAAAATGGCTCTCCTCCGTATCTTTCCTCGCCGTACATGTATTTCTTTACCTCCCCTGTCATCAAATCCACCTTCGCAAATCCACTCACCTTCGGCCATGGCTCTGCTATCGAGAGATAAGCGAACCGGGTTTTCCTCCCCAGTCGGTTCCGGTTCACCATTCCTGCTTCCAGGTTCATTTGCTCCAAGGTAACGGGGCGGCGTGTTGACTCGTAGGTGGTGAGATTTAGTCTAAATTCTGATAAGACGCTTGTCAACTTCTCGTCGCTTTCGTTGAAAATGGAATCCGGCGGGGACATGCACGAGCCGATAACGACGATTTCGTTCCTCTCCGGTTCCTCCCAAGCGTTCCAGAGGTGAAAGCAGAACGTGTCTGGGCATTCAATCCAAATGATATCCGATGCGTTTCTCGCATTCTTCGCGAGAATCCCGAACCGCGATTTCTTGGACTTGTCGTAGATCACCGGAGATCCTCCTGTGATCATCTCTTGGAGCTTGAACACCACTTGCTGGTCTGGAATCACCACGAAGTTCTCGGTAATTGCAAAGTCGTGAATCATTGTAGGAACTGGTAAAGGGATCCCCACGTCTCGTGATTTCTTTCCGTCCCGCGAGAAGCTCAAGTATCTGAGGTATGGCTTCGAGACGACGTCATAGCTCAGGGAAAATAACTCGCCGGTGTCTGGGTCGACCTTCGGATGAGCAATCATGTTCGATTTGAGCTGGTCTTCGAAACTGTATCTGCCTATGGTTTCGAGATCACCGGAAGGAGTTATTCGGACGTGGTAAGGATGGTCGTCTTCTGACATTGCGAGGAGGCGGCCATTGAAGTAAACCAAGCCGGCGTTGGCGACGCCCACGCCGTGGTGGTGATCGACGAGGCCGAACAGTCCACGAGCGTAGAAGAGGAGGAGTCGGGCTATACCCGAATGCCCATGGAGCTCGCCGATGGCCTTGGGGAACACCGGCCGGCCTAGCTCCCGTTCCTGAACGAATCTCTCCGTCTGAGTAAACCGGCAAGCATAACTAGCAGAGCAGCCGCTTATCGAAACGGCGTGGACCATGCCGTCGCCGTCGAACAAGTGGTGCCCAGAAACGGGTTCGAATAACGGGTTAGCACCGTTTCGGACATAAACCCCATTGATGGAGTCGGGGATAGTGCCAGTGACGGGGAGGGAATGGCATACGGACTGTTCCGGCACCGGAGAGAAGTTTCCGGCGATCTGGACTCTTGGGTCGGCGGTTTTCGGAAGTGGATGTTGGAGTTCACGAGAGACTAATGCGCTCTCGGCCGCGTCTAACGCCATTGCTGCTACTTTCTGGATCGGATTCCATAGAGGTGGGGGTTTTGGTTTGGGTGGAGGAGTACGGAGAGTTTGGGGTTTGGAAATTAGAGGTTGATCAGGAGAGGGGCTTTTTGGGAAATCGAGCAATGGAGGAGATTGTAAAGCAGAGCGAACAACATTAATTGGTGTTCTGAGAAAGGGCTGCTTATAGAAGAAGAACCAGGACCGATCAGAAGCAGCCAAATTAACAGAGGAGGGAAGTGTAGAGGAAGGTACCATGATTGAGGGATTTGAAGCCGATGAGTATGGTAGAAGACACAAGTATAGTAGTGGTATGTATAGTTTGTCAAAATGACAAGAGGGAAAGATAGTAAGAGAAGGCTTTGGGAGAACCAAGAGACAGAATGGGGTATATATCCAGAACATAAAGGAGAATGGCGACGAGATACTAGTTTTAAGGGTTGGATAGTAATTTGGTGGTGAAATATAGAGAAATACTACTAGAAATATTACCCCCCGTGTTATTAGGCTTCCGTAGCAATTTCACTTGACTTGGGGAGAGGCAGTCAAGTTATTAATTTTATCAAAAAAATATGTTTTTATTTTTTATTTATTCATTTATATTTGAATGAAAATTTTTATATTTGCATTACATTCTTTCTAATAGTTAATGAGTTTAAATATGAATAGTATTAAAAAAATTTAATTAATACCACATTAAATATCTTATATTAAGTACCTTCTCCATCCCAAATTATAAGATACTTTTAGATAAAATTTCACATATTAATAAATCTTATTAAGTATATTTAACAATCTTATCTTTTCAAAATAAAAATATAAATTTTTAAAAATACCCATCATTTAATATATTGAAAGGAGAAAAGATGAAAATTAATTATAGAGAAAGATAAGGTAATATTAAAATTAGTACATTTAATAAAACATTAATCTATTCAAAGTATTTTATATTTTGGGACAGAAAAAATTATTCAAAAGTGTCTTATAATTTAGGATGGAAGGAATACTATATTAATCTCTTATGTTTGAAGATGCCTTACAATAATGACTAAGGGAGTATGGACCAATCAATATACTCCTTATGATTTTTATTATAAGATATTTTTAATTATTTCACATGAATCAAGGAATGACAATTACTCTCTCTGTCTCTATATATAAGATATTTTTAATCAAATTACGCAAATCAGTAAAAGTTGGATATTTAATTAAAAGTACAACAACATTCCAATTTTACCTCTAATTACTGTAAATAAAAAATGAACCTCTTTTTCTAAAATAAATTAATGAAAGTACTTATCTTTTTTTTTTTTCATTTAATAAGGGTATAATAATCCATTTATTAAGAAAATGCTAACAACATCTTATATTTAAGGATAAAAAATTTTTTAAAAAATTTTTTATATATAAGGACAGAGGGAGTAATTCATTAAAAAATGTTTAACTTTACCCTATTAAAAGTAGAAAGAAAGAGTTACACAATATACAATTATCTATGAAATTATTAAATTTATAATAGAAGTCAAATTGAAAAATAATAATAAAATACTCTTTAATGTACCTTATATTAATTAAAAATTAAAAAATTCTTCTAAAAGGTGTGCTATGAGAAAAAATGACAATTAAAGAATGCTAAATCAGGATCTTCTCATATTTCCCATGCCCGTAAGTCATCCTCCCATATTTCAGCATTGAAAATCTTGATTTGATATCAACTCTTTTACAAATAATTGTTAATTGTCATTTGCCCCATGGCAAATATTGTGACTCGTTTATAAATTACAGCTTATAGAAGTTTTCTTTTTCCACCTGAGCTTATAGAAGTATTTAATCCTTCCCTCACAAAATAAAGGTTTTTGTTTTATTATTTCATATATTTCATTAATTCACTAATACCTATTATTATACCCTCATTTATTATTAGAGCTGTTAATTAGGGTTGGACTAACCTTAAAGAGCCAAGACCTAAATGGGCTAGCCCTGTTAATTCTCATTATACCTCAGGGCTCCATTTTTGTCAGCCTCCAAATATTTTTTTATTTTTAAATTTAAAAATGTATTTAAAATCATAAAAAATTATTGCACATAACATTAAGTCTAGAACAACAAATTTAAATCAATGCACACAACAACAAATTTAAATCTAATACAAAACAACAACATCACAAAATCAATATTGATAATAATCAAACTTTACAGCATCATTAGTTAAATCTTAATGATTTTCATTATCATTAATATAATTTTATCCTTTTCATTGTAGAGCCTTATTAAAGGCAAAGATATTAAGCTTTTCATACATTCCTTCTCCATCATTGTGAAAGAAAGTTAGGATTTTAGAACTAGCACAATATTTAGTTTTTTAATATTAAAATTTTAAAAAATTATAAAATGGCTTAAATTAGGGCCGACCCTTTTATTTTAGGGTTTAAAAGAGCTAGCAAATTAAAACTCAAATTGCCATTTTACACTCTAAAGTAGCAATTCAGTTTTAAATATTTTTGATCTTAGAAAGGCTGGGATAATGGCTCTATTCATAATCTATTTACACTTAAAAGGCCTATTTTTTAATAGCTATGAGGATCTATGGCAAGTTTATTTAAAATAAAAAATTAATTTTAGTTAAATTTAATACCTGAGTTGCTAGGAGAAATTAAATTAATCATAAAAGTTTTGTTTGAAAAATATATTTCTTCCCTTTTTTATAATTTATTTCAAACAGTTTAATATTCTCAAAAACTTTCTCATATTTAGTTGAACTATAGTCTTTTTTATTATTATTATTATATACAAATATACTTTTATTGAAAACAACCTTATTCAATATATATATATAGTCATATATTAAATATAGACTTTTTTTCAATCAAAATTTAAATATTAATTTATCACATTGCTTGCAATTAACCAAATTTTTTAGACTTAAACTGATTGGTGTAAAAAAACATTTAATTTTAAACAAACGAGCACTTAAGCTCAGTACGCCTGTATATGCGTGACATCTTTTCCAATTAATACCAATTGTTCATATAAATGGGATTTTAGGGGAAGAAAAAAGATAGACACAAAAACGTAGGGCCATCCTAAACATAAGAAGTCGGACTTTTTTGTTCTCGGGTCTTCAAAGTTCCTGCTTCACCATAGCCTAAAGAAGAACACGTGTTGGATTTTAAGTTATGACACTTGGGAATTGAGATTGACCTAGTGGCCTCTTCTCTTCCAAAAATGGCTCCGGAATATTCAGGTAACTTATACTACTCTGTTTTTATTTATAAAAAAAATTATTATTATTTATTTATTTTTTTATATAAATAAAATCACATATTTCAACAAACATTTATTGTACATCTTTTAAATTACCTCTCATAATTTACATTAATAAAAAATAATTAATGTATGTTTATGTTGATTAACATAAGCCATTTTAATCCAATTTTTTTATTTTCAGACATAATTATTATAGTTAACTAACTTTCTTAAATTGTGTGATATAATTTTTTTTATATATAAAAACGGAAGAAGTATATGTGAGCCACACAATAATTGATTCCTTTCTGTTTTTTTTTTTTGAAGTTTTAAAAATGGATTCTTTTGGTCACACATTGAATCCAATATATTATAGTTATATTATAAGCGAGAATTTTAAAATTACGAGTGTGGCAAAATTAAGTAAATTTCATAATTCTCCTTTTAATTTACATGCTTATATGGAGTTTAATTGGTTTAGAGCATATACCACGTGAGGAAAGCTTGGCACATGGAATTAAAGATGATCATTCTACCAAATAGGTGTTAGCTCTGTGGAAATGAGTTACGACCACGTAAACATAAAATATCAAGTTCGAGTTCATGTGAATGCATTAAACGTTTTTGAAAGAATTATCGTCAGTTGTGTATTTCAATGTCTGAATCCAATCCAATCCATATGTAATGAAATTTGTTATTTTTATAATTTGTTCGTGTGAAAGAGGGATGGGACTAGCAGTGACTATGATTGGCATATGAAACTTAATTAGCAGTCTATTTATATATGCAAATAAAACCATACACCAATTGACTGTAGAAAAATATGAGGCACTCAAGAAGATGAAATTGACCTCCTGTTACGCACAAGGTATATCGCTCGCCACACAAATATGCATCAAATTAGACACGTTATATATATATGTATATATATATATATATATGTATATATATATATATATATATGTATATATATATATATATGTATATATTATTGCATGCAACTTGAAAATATTATGAGATGTATTATTATGATTGATAAATAACGCAACCTATTATATGTTAATTTTATTATACGTATTTTGACATGAAATGACATGGATGGCTTATTAATGGGAGTGTTCATGCATTTTAAGAATAAGCTAAGTAATGTAAAAAGAAAAAAAAAAGCAAGTTAGTATATATTAATGTCTTTTTTTCTTTTCTGACAAAAAATGTCGTTTTTATTTTTCTTTGTCAGTTGGTATACATAGCATAAGAGATCGATATATATTGAGGGCGAAGAGAAGGAGACATAAAGGAGGAGGCAATTGATGAATGGCCAACCGACAAGCTTGTTGGGATTCAATGCCACTAACACATTCTTATTATTACCGAAATCTCATCTATTTGTCCCCTTTTGAATGCCAAAAATAAATATCCCTAGGATTGAATGAATTTTATCACTTGTATATTTTCTCTTTTTTTTTTTATTTTCCATAACAAAATTTCACTTCCTCCATCCCAAATTATAAATCACTTTTAGGCAAAATCTCACATATCAACAAAACTCATTAAATATATTTTATAATTTTATTTTTTTAAAATAAAAATATAAACTTTTAAAAATGCTCTTCATTTAATACTTCATTAATGAAAGAATATTGAAGAGAGATAATATATGATAAAGGTAATATTAAAAAAGTATTATTAATAAAATTTTATTTTTATCAAATGTCTTATATTTTGAGATACTAGATCTTATCTAAAAAGTATTATATAATTTAGGATGGAGAAAGTATATTTTTAGGTCGTGGGAAAAGATAGATTTCATGATTTCATCATTCACGAAGACAGTAAATTGCCCACTAAGAAGTGAACGACTTTGAGGATGCATATGGTGATAGTGATTTCTGTCTTCTTTGCATATAATTTTTTGTCTGTGTATGTTTACATTCCCTCTGATCCTATTTATAGGGTAGGGAAAGAAATTTTTTTTGTCTTATTTTTAAGTCAAGTCATTAAATTTTTATCATAAATTTTCTATTTTACCCTCTATTGAATGTTGAAGAGAGAAAAATATTATTGAAATATATACATATATATATTTAATAAAAAAAAGTTGATAACTTTTTAAAATTTAAGACAAAGTTAATGAATT